CTTCTCTGCTCCACAACATCAACACTTGCAGAACACGTCAAAATCCTTCGAAAAATCCGGAACAGAACGAAACTGCAAGAAAATTTCTTCATCTTCCTCCAAATGAAACACTTCCTCTTCCGATTGCGATTCCGATTCCGATTCTGATTCCTCTTATCGCCCGATTTTCTCCTCTTTCTCTGACCTAATTTCTCCTTTACTTTCCACAAACACCTCCTCGTTTTCTCCCGCACCGATTCCTTCGTCGAAAATTTATAGCTCCTCAGATACATTTGCCTGCACGATACTCCATCCACAACCGGAACGCGGCGACGCGTTCTCGGAATCGCCGATTTATCGGTCTCGTTATCCGAATCCGTCCAATTCGAGAGGTTGATATAGGCCGCGCGCGGCGGACGGCCACTGTCCACAGTGCTAATGCAGTAGTTCGTTGTACAGACCGCGCTCATTTTCTCTGAAGCTCTTTTCGATGATCGTTAAGGGCGGAGAAGGGCGAGGAGGATCGGGAGCATTAGCAGAAGATTGATTTTGAGGGATGATCTGAGAGATGAATTATTGATTTGTTTGTTTTTATAAAGAAAATTTGGGGGAATTCTCGTACGCGAAACAGAAGCTGAAAATGGATCCGAGGCGCTTTTCTTCTTTTAATTGTACAGTTTTATTGATTTATTTATTCATTGTTTTTGTCAGTAAGATCAACGGTCTAATATTGACATTATTATTAGTATATACCAAGAGTATAAAAAAAAAATTAACATTTTAAATTACAATAAATATAATATAGAAGTTATATAAACTAAATTACCACAATCCGATATATAACCATCTAACTCAAAGTAATAGCAATTTCGTAGGGAATAACCAATTTTGCCCCCATATATTTTTAAATTGTTTTTCCATTTTAAATATTAGTTGATGATGCAACTAATTTTTTCAGCTCTAATTAAATTTATAGTTTAATCTTTTCATTACAATCTACAAAATATTATTCGAAAAATATACATAATTATCCCTAAAGTTTAGAAAAATGTTGATTTTGGCACGAAATTTCAAAAAGTTTCAATCTTACTTCCAAAATCATTTAATTTGGTTGATATATATATATATTTTCTTATCTAAGCTCCTTCACCAACCTTAGCATCGATCCTATTTCCATTCTATTTGCTTGTCGAAAGCTTCGTCTAAGAAATGATAACGTTTTGTTCAATATTTCTCATTGTTCCATAACACTATTAAAACAGGACGACTAGGGATGTACCGAAAAAAGAGAAAAAAGAAAGATTATAAAAAAAAATGTAATGTCTGAATTATACCAAATTAAATATTTGTTTTAGTTTATAGATTAAATGGCACGATTTGAAAATAAAAAACAAAGTGGACAGTCAACTAGATTATTGTTTAATTAAAAAATATCTCGTGAATTGCAATTGTAAAGATTAAGAATCTAGTTGAAATAATAATAATATATATATATATATATATATATATATAAAAAAAAAAAAAAAAGACTGGAAGTGTTTCGAACTTGGCCCATTTTCATGTTACGGATTTGGTTAGAGACGGCCCAACACAGTGCCACGTAGACTTAGTTTGAATAAGAAGTTAAATTTTATTATTAAACTTGTTAAATAATAATAAAAAAATTTATTTAATTAATTCTTTTATAGATTAAGTTTAAAATTTAACCATAAACGAAGAGATTTATTAAAAATAGGAATATTATAATAATATTTTAATTTAAATCTCTATTACTTGAAGGAAGTAAAAATAAAAATTAAAATAGCATTATTCTAATAATTTATGAAAAAATAAAAAAATAAAATGTTTTTGTTATGAATTAAAGTAAAAAGAATGGGAATGAAACCATTTTTAAACTTAATTTTATTGTACTAATAAGGAGACGAAAAGGGCAGTTGGGCTACTTTACACACCTAACGTTAATAAATTAAACTTTACCAATTACTTTTACCTTAGTTGGGTTTTCCAAAATATTGAACAGATAAATGCGCGTAGAAAACATCTTAACAGAAAGATATCATACTTAGAGTATGCATAGAATGATTTTTTTATGTGAATAAAAAAAACGTTTTAAGTATTTGACAATGTATTATAAACATGTAGTGTTAACATTTAACTTGTTTGAATAGCAAGTATTAAGATCTCGTATTTTCTTTTTTTGTTATTTAAATTTATTTTTATTTACTTACCATTATAACACATTTTCAAAATCTAAAATCAAATTTTTTAAGAACTTATTACAAACAAAATTCAAATAATTATGAGTAACTTTGAATTGCATTATAATGGTAACATAAATTATATATTAAACCCTAAACCCTAAAGTTTTTAAATAACTAATAACTGGTTTTTTAATAAACCAAAAAATATTTAGAATCATGATAATATTTAAACCAAAAGTTTAAAAAATATCTGAGGTTTCGTGAAGATGTAAATATGTAAGGAGGAAGTTGGGTTGGTTTATGAATGACATTGGTAAGAAAATGGAAACCTTGCCGCAACTCCCCTCTCTCATTCTTTTCTCCGGGCGTTGGAGATTTGATACTCCAATTCAACCACCCCAATTTCTCTCCCCCATAAATTCCTCAATTTTGATGCCTTTCCTTACTAAATTCTCTTCCCTTCTCTAACTAAAACGCCGCCGCCGCCGTCTAAATGGCTGCCACCGGCGGCGATACTTTCCCAAGGAGTTGGAGTTACACCAACGAATCGGAGCTCAGAGAGTTCGCCCGGCGACCCACTCTCGGCGAGCTCCTGAAGCAAGTGGAAGACGCGCAGTCGCCAGATCACCGTACCGTCGACGTTAGCTATGGGTGCAGTTATCTGGCGCCGCCCCCGGTGTTGTATCCTTTCAAGCTTTCGTTTCAGAATCTGAGTTACAGCGTGAAAGTTCGGCGGAGAGGTTCGTCGTTGCCGGAGAATTTGACGGCGGAAGAGAATGGTGGAAGGGTGAAGCTGTTGCTTAATGATATCTCCGGCGAGGCGAGGGAAGGGGAAATTATGGCGGTGCTTGGGGCTAGTGGGTCTGGGAAATCTACGCTCATTGACGCTCTCGCTGATCGGATTGCAAAAGGTTAGATTTAAAAAATATATATATATTCCTTATTTTAATTTTAATTTACAAATATGTTCTTATTTTGAGTAGAGAAATTGAAAGGGACGGTGACATTAAACGACGAAGTTTTGGAATCTGCGCTGCTGAAAGTGATCTCCGCCTATGTTATGCAAGACGATCTTCTGTTTCCGATGCTTACAGTGGAAGAGACTCTCATGTTCGCGGCGGAGTTCCGGCTACCTCGCTCACTCTCAAAATCCAAGAAGAAAGCGAGAGTGCAAGCCTTAATCGACCAATTAGGTCTAACAACCGCCGCGAACACCGTCATCGGCGATGAAGGTCACCGCGGGGTCTCTGGTGGAGAACGACGTCGTGTCTCTATCGGAATCGACATTATCCACGATCCGATACTTTTGTTCCTCGATGAACCTACCTCGGGCCTCGATTCCACCAGCGCTTTCATGGTTGTCAAAGTCCTGCAGAGAATCGCACAGAGCGGAAGCATTGTGATAACGTCGATTCATCAACCGAGTTATCGAATCCTCTCGTTGCTTGATCGATTGATCTTCCTTTCCCGTGGGCAAACCGTTTACAGCGGCTCTCCGGCAGAGTTGTCGGAATTTTTGGCTGATTTTGGGCATCCGATTCCAGAGAACGAAAATCGGACGGAATTTGCCTTGGATTTGGTTCGAGATCTGGAAGAAACTGCTGGTGGAACCAGATCCATGGTGGAACACAACAAATCATGGCAGTGGAAGAACAAGAATCACTTAAAAGGTCACAAAATTGTTCGTCGCAATTCTTCTCATCGATTTCATCTCTGTCTCAAAGACGCCATTAGCGCAAGCATTTCGAGAGGGAAATTAGTCTCGGGCGCCCCAATTGATTCGAATCGTTCTTCTTCGTTCTCGAAATTTTCAAATCCTTTGTGGACTGAGATTTTAGTGCTAGCAAAACGATCGATTACGAATTCGAGGAGAATGCCAGAGCTATTTGGAATTAGATTGGGTGCGGTTCTGATCACCGGGATAATTTTAGCCACCATGTTTTGGCATCTGGATAATTCCCCTAAAGGCGTTAAAGAACGGTTAGGGTTCTTCGCCTTCGCCATGTCCACAACCTTCTACACCTGTGCAGAGGCAATCCCTGTTTTCCTTCAAGAACGATACATTTTTATGAGAGAAACAGCCTACAACGCTTACCGTCGATCTTCGTACGTTCTCGCACATTCGTTAATCTCCATTCCGTCGTTGATTATCCTCTCTTTGGCCTTTAGTGGAACGACGTACTTCGCCGTTGGTCTCGCCGGCGGCTTCTCTGGCTTTCTTTTCTTCTTTGCCGCCGTACTCGCCGCCTTCTGGGCCGGGAGTTCGTTTGTCACATTTCTCTCCGGCGTCGTTTCTCATGTAATGTTAGGCTACACCGTCGTTGTCGCCATTTTAGCGTATTTTCTTCTCTTCAGTGGCTTCTTCCTCAGCCGGGACCGGATGCCGCCGTACTGGATCTGGTTTCACTACATGTCGCTGGTGAAGTATCCGTACGAAGCAGTGTTGCAAAACGAGTTTGAGGCGACAGGAGAGTGCTTCGTCCGCGGCGTTCAGATGTTCGACAATACGCCGCTCGCGACGGTGCCAGCGGCGGCGAAGGTGGAGCTGCTGAAGAGCATGGGGAAGACGTTGGGGTTCAACATCACCGGATCCACCTGCGTTACTACCGGCTCCGACGTACTGAGGCAACAGGGGATTACGGATTTGAGCAAATGGAACTGTATTTGGATCAGTATGGCTTGGGGATTCTTTTTCAGAATTCTGTTTTATTTCGCGCTCTTGTTTGGTAGTAAAAACAAGAGAAACTGAAAATTAACAGAAAAAAATTAACTAACCCGACTCTACAAAATGGTATGATATTGTTTATAAAATGGTATGACATCTTGAGCAGAGAGTATTATTTCATTATAAATACTTAAAATGGGTGGAGGCTGGACTTTCGTCTCCAATAGTTTTTATTTTTTATTTTTTATTACTATTATGATAACTTGACGAACAGAGAGAATATTTATTTACTTCTGTTATTTAACTTTTTGATTTTTATTCTAATTAGATAAAATAACGATGGGCAAAAAAGTAAAATCCACCTAAACGGGCCAAGCGAACAAATGAACGAGGAATGCGAAGCCCAAAAACCTTTAAGCCTCAGTTCCCGCCAGCGGCTTTGGGTCTCTTCATCTTTTCGATATTGACGGCGCTCTACAATTGATCCGCCGCAGCGACGGGATGAACTACGGCGCTTATGGCCGCCTTATCCAGCACTGCACCGATCAACGATTCTTCCGCCTCGGTAAGCAGCTTCACGCTCGTCTTGTTTTATCATCAGTCGCTCCGGATAACTTCCTCGGATCGAAACTCATTGCCTTATACTCAAAATCCGGCAGCCTTAGAGATGCCTATAATGTGTTTGATAGCATTTCTCACAAAAATATTTTCTCTTGGAATGCTTTGTTTATCAGCTACACTCTTCACAATATGCACGCTGATATGCTGAAGCTGTTTTCGTCTTTGGTTAATTTAAATTCGACGGATGTGAAGCCGGATAAGTTTACGGTTACTTGTGTTTTGAAAGCGTTGGCGTCTTTGTTTACTAATTCGATTTTGGCTAAGGAAGTTCACTGTTTCGTTCTTCGACGAGGGCTTGAATCTGATATTTTTGTTGTCAATGCTTTAATTACTTTTTACTCGAGGTGTGATGAGCTGGTTTTAGCGAGAATTATGTTTCATAGAACGCCTGAGAGAGATATTGTGTCTTGGAATGCGATGGTGGCTGGGTACTCGCAGGGTGGGTTCTATGAAGACTGCAAGGAACTATTTAAAGCGATGTTAGGTTCAGGAGAGCCGAAGCCTAATGCATTAACCGCAGTCAGTGTTTTGCAAGCTTGTGCTCAGTCAAATGATCTCATTTTTGGGATGGAAGTTCATAAATTCGTCAATGAAAGCGGGATTGAAATGGATGTTTCACTATTCAACGCTGTTATTGGATTATATGCAAAGTGTGGTAGCTTGGATTATGCACGGGAGTTGTTCGAAGGAATGCCTGAGAAAGATGAAGTCACCTATGGCTCAATGATATCAGGCTACATGGTCCATGGTTTTGTTAACCAAGCAATGGATCTTTTTCGAGAACTGGAAAGGCCAGCACTGAGCACATGGAATGCTGTGATTTCTGGTCTGGTTCAGAACAACCAACAAGATGGAGTTGTAGATATATTTCGAGCAATGCAATTGCATGGTTGCAGACCAAATACTGTGACACTTGCGAGCGTTCTTCCCATTTTCTCACACTTTTCAACCCTGAAAGGTGGGAAAGAAATTCATGCTTATGCTGTTAGAAACGCCTACGATGGGAATATTTATGTTGCTACTGCCATCATTGATTCTTATGCTAAGTCTGGTTACCTCCAGGGGGCACGCCAAGTTTTTGACCAATCAAAACGTAGGAGTCTAATCATTTGGACTGCAATAATTTCAGCGTATGCTGCGCACGGAGATGCTAATGCGACCCTTAGTCTTTTTTATGAGATGCTGACAAATGGCATTCGACCTGACCCGGTAACCTTTACATCAGTATTAGTTGCCTGTGCCCATTCAGGAGAGTTAAATGAAGCCTGGAAGATATTTAATGTCTTGTTACCGGAGTTTGGGATTCAACCACTAGTCGAGCATTATGCTTGCATGGTTGGAGTCCTTAGTCGAGCTGGAAAGCTCTCTGATGCAGTTGAATTTATTTCTAAAATGCCAATTGAACCCACTGCAAAAGTTTGGGGTGCTTTGCTCAATGGGGCTTCTGTTGCTGGTGATGTTGAACTTGGAAAGTATGTTTTCGATCGTCTCCTTGATATTGAGCCTGAAAATACTGGTAACTACATCATCATGGCTAATTTATATTCACAATTTGGATGGTGGAAAGAAGCTGACCATGTTAGGGATTTGATGAAGGAAGTTGGATTGAAGAAGATCCCAGGTAATAGCTGGATAGAAACAAGGGGAGGGTTGCAGAGTTTTGTAGCTAGAGACACTTCAAATGACAGGACTCCAGAGATTTATGGAACGTTGGAAGGATTGGTTGGGTTGATGAAAGAAGGACTCATTCAGCAACATGAGATAGATGACGAATGTGGCAGTGGTTAGTGCATGGGTGATCATCCAAGGAAGCATGGAACATATAACAAGACGACCTATGATGCACATTGGTGTGCCATTCCTCTGCTTGAATCACGCTCCTCGAAGGTAAACTAGCTTGTTGCATGACAGGAGAGTCCATAGCATTAGTCATTCCTTGAAACGTTGTGGACTTATATCTGATTTCATCTCACCAAGCCAATTGAGAACCGTGCAAACTAGCTGCAGAAAAATGGTTCTCCATTGACCAAAGCTGTTCTTTCTGTTGGCAATTAACTTGCCTTATCTATTTATAGGCCAAGCTATCTGTGTAGGGACAATAGGTTCACAGAAGCATAATGTTGAAGGCTGCTGGAATTCGCCCGGAAGGGTAAATTCATTCATGAGTGCAACTACGAAAGAAAAAGGAGTTTGATATTTAGCTCTGCTGGTGGGAATAAGGATTGTTTAGTTCATAATAGTATATGATTCAAGAGTTCCAGATTACATTTCTGACATGAGAGAGATAGGCAGCGAGTTGAATGGTTACTTAACTTAATAGATTTGTAGCCTGATGAAGATGGTTATATGTCGTTAGTTGAGAGCTAGACAACACTGCAGCTTGTAGGCTTCGTTAATTTCGGATTCCCAAAGGGTGCCGAAAATGGACCCAGATCCATGCTTAACGTATATAATATTTGATAATCCCCTCAAAAGCATTACTTTATGCTCTGTATAATTGTAAGGTGATTTTGGAATGCACTTTAGTATTTCTTTCAACGGAGGTGGGTGACACTTCTCACTTTCAAAAGTAAGAATCGTGAGTTTGTGATTTTCTTTCTTTTTCTTTCTACCATTTTCGGTAAAGTTCATCTAACTGTTTGAGATCATAACAGGGCTGTTGCGTTCCTTGCTTCAGATATCTCAATCACGATGCCTTCAGTTGAAACCACTCAACTTCCCTCGAGCTGCATCTTGCAGGTATGAAAGGAAAATTGCTAATATTAAATTCTTTCGTACAACTGCCTTGAAGCTTTATAAAATAAATGTAGTGATTTAGCTTAGTATAGCCGACAATAATATTTCATATTAAATAGTAGCTTGTTCACTAAATCCTTTACTTAGTATACTTCATTGCTTCTGACTCGTTACTTTTCTCTTGATACTCTGTTTCACCATTTAGCTTATATGTGTCCAATTTCATTTCTTTTTGTCACAAAATCTATATAAATTAAACTACCTAGACACATACAAACAGATACGAATAGATATTCATGCATTTTTTGGATTTGAGAGGTGTAAAATTCAATCAAAGGAAAAAAAAGGACATCAGGGGTCAACATTTCAAGGTAGTAAACTATATTTCACACCCTACCACTTGTGTAGCAATCAAATTAGATTAGAACCGAACATAATAGAGAAATATGTAGCCTATTGATCCTTAGAACTAAGTGAGAAAAGATCCGAAAGAAAAAGCTCAAGCTCCTTAATGTTCACCTCCTTCTTGAGACGGTAAAACCCTACCCCAAGGTTAACCATTATGCCACCAATTAGTCAAGACAGTAAAATAAAAATCCTACCTAAGGTCAAAAGTTGTTTTGTAGATTAGTTGCGGTACACCTAAGCTCACCTACAGACTTGTAGACGACCATATATATATATATATATATATTAGTTTTTTTAATAATCAGATTATAAGTTTAGCCTTTTAATTTTCATTTTTGTGTCAACTAAACTTTAAAAAGATTAATAGATCTCCAAAATTTCAAATTTAGGACACATGGGAAGAGCAATGATCTGTCTAACCACGTGAACGTAACAATTCCCTCATCAAAATGAAACTTTTGCCCATAACACAAAGCTAAGCTGGGAAATTGGGGAGAAAAGAGGTTGCAGAGAGAGAGAAAGAGAGAGAGAGTAGAATTATGATTGGATCTTGTGGAATTCCACCGGCTTTGACGAAAGAGTGTTAGGTTGGTTGGTACAAAAGGAAGAGCCATGGATGGGCCACGCTTCCCTTGACTCTTCTTTGCTTGTTTTGTTGCGTATCACAGATAAAAAGGCAATGACTATCAGCTTATGGAAAAAGGGAGTGAATAACAGGTTGGATTTGGCCCTTTCCTCTGGCTAATTAAATTATAATTTCCTTCTCCCCTATTTTTTTATTTTTATTTTTATTTTTATATCCATCTTTATTAGGAGCATTTATTTAGTGTTCTTGGATTGTAGCTAGTGCTCTTATTTTTATAATCATTAGAGAAAGGGAGGAGTTTATCTAATGACCATGTCCAAATTGAAACCTAAATAGTATGCTAAAGGAATCTGCTGATCTTCTTTTCATGGTGGATTTGGAGATGGGCCTGATAGAAAAGCCCATCAGGCCCAACCCAAATTAAAACTAACAAAACGGATATTACTATGTTTGATTAAAAAAATTTAAATTCTAAGAGTCTTATGCTTTTAAATATCTAATTTAATTCACGTGCTTTCGATTTCAAGAAAAGAGGGCACCAACACGAGTGCTTGTGAGCTCAAACCAAGACATCCACCAAACAACTGTAGACCAGAGCTTTGTAGTCAAATTCAAACATAATTGTTTATTTATTTATTTTTTTAATGTTTTTTATTTGTTTTAAATGCTTTAAAAGAGAAGGTGAAACATCCCATATTGCCTTCAAAAACCAAGCTTCCTTTGAGACATGAAACCTCAACACCATCTTATTTTAGCTAATTTATATTAATTTAAATCGAGATTGTTATATAAAGGTTAAAATATTTTTCTTTTTCAAATTTTTATGTTTAATCCTTACATTTTCAATAAATCTAAAAATTAGATTTTATTATTAGTTTGAACTTTGAAGTTAATTTTTACCTAAATTAGTTAAATAATAATAGTAATTTAAAAATATAATTAATTATATAGACTGACTTTAATATTATTTAAAAATATAAAAACAGAAATAAAATGAGACCTAAATCTAATCTAAATTTGCTCAATGAAATCTAGATTAGTTCAATCTTGAATGACAACTCTTTTCATGAAAGTATATTAAGTACTATAAGAGTATGAATACTTCTTTCATTTATTATCTGTCACGTTAGCATTCATTTAAAAACGACATGAGGTTTACCAATTAAAAAAATATATTATTATAATGTGAAAATGGGAAGTATGATCATTTTTTTTTTTTTTTTTTTTTTGACTAAAGACGTGTACAAAAGGCTAAATATTTACATATTTAGAAAAGGAAAAGGAGGGGAGGGGGGTCTAACAGGACAATATGATCAATCAGATCCAGACATAATGCAAGGGAACATCTATAAGCTGATCTCAGAAACAGGGTCTTGTGCATGTACCACTCATTTTGGTTGGTGCAGTGTTCACATCACTTCCAAAAGAAAATTAGACTTTTTGTTAATAAAATATTCAAATAAAAATACTTTCCAAATAAATGAAAATACATTTAAATTCGTTATTTTTATCCTTTAGAGAGAGGGTAAAAAAGATTTTTCCTTAGAGCCAATAATTTCCCATCCTTTTTGTTGAAACAGCTATGGTTATGCTTTTCCAAATCTTGGACAAATTTCACAATTGGGTTTGATGAGATTTTGTTTGTTGATTGATCAGAAAATTCTGCATTATCGATTTGGTATAATATTTACGAGACATAAAAATTTAAGGAATAATTAATCCACCACCTGAAAAAAGAAAAGTTTTAATTTTATGCCAACTTCCCTATAAAGGAGGAATAAAAATAAAAAAAATAAAAAATAAAAAAACTTTCATCCCCAACAACATTTATCTTTTCCCCTTTTTTTTTAAAAAAAAAGAAATTATGTCAACTCATCTGTCAATTTCTATATTTACTTATAGTGAAGAAATCATTTAAAAAAAAATAATAGGCGAAAATTAGACTAAAAAAATAAAATAAAGGAAATATTAGAGCGAGAGAGAGACTCATTTATGTCGGTTAACAACTTACAAAGTAGGATTGGAAGAAACCCTATAATAAATAACAGTGAACTCATCCTATGCTATACCATCAAAAAATTCTTCTTATTGGTTGCCACCAAGACTTTTGATTGAAAAGAAATCAAGATTTTCCTAGAAGTTGCAACTAATTGCTGTTTTATATTTAGTTTTTTCAGTCAATTGATATGTAAATTTTAAAAAATAAGAACAATGGGTCTCAGATGTATGGAAAAATGTTTAAATTTAATCTCTTATAACTCCCTAACTTCAACCTTAGATTACAGGAAAAGTTCTATGTTAGGACACGCTATAGGAAAGAAGTGAATTATATTGATGACGAGCACATGACAAACATATCCATGTATCTATCTATGTAAATATGTTAGTAAAACAATAATGTAATAACATTGGTATAATAATAGGGTTAAGTAAAAATTGTAAATTACATGAAGGTTAATTATTTGATAATAACCAAATTTATAAGTAGAGTATGATAACGACACTGGAATCTGTAGTATGAGTTTTGATTGACAAATTATGAGCTTTGTAATTGACAGAATATAATTCCCCACTCTTATCCTTTTCCCTTTTAACTTATTTCTCTCTCTTTCATAATTGCTTGGCCATGCTGACAGCTAGGCAATTCCATTTCAGATTTAATTTCACAACCACTTTATTGTTGCTTTGTAATGGAGATAACAGTTTTTAGAATTTCAGAATTTTTTTTTCTTTGCAGTTTTATTCAATCTTTTATTAATTGAGGCAAAAGGCTCACTCAAACAATTCCTTTATTTTGCTAATTAAGGCTTAGCTCAGCTCATTAATGTCTAATCTCACTACCATGCCAAAGGAGAAAGACACAAATGCTGAATCCCACTTCAAAAAGTCTACCTAAAAAAATGAATAGAAATTAGTACAAGGGAAGGCAAGTAGATTGCTGGATTTACAAGGAATGAAATTCCAAATGCAGATCAGAAATGTGGAGGTAGTTTTTACAGTAAGAAAAAGGGGGGGGGGGGTGCTTTTCTGATTTAGATTAGGAAAAATTGCCTGAAATGGTGGGTTGTGGCTGATGGTAAGATGATTAGAAATGGTGGGTTTAGCTCATAAATTTCAGTTGGAGCTTTTTTATAATTGCAGTGCAGACATGAAGTGGCGGAAGGCCCCAAACCCATAAAAAAAGCCCACCACTTGTCTATAAAAATACAGAAAAAGAGTAAAAGGCAGAGAGAAAACAGAGAAGGGAGGGAGACTGGGGATTGGGGAGGGACAACAATGTCAGATTTGTAGTTTGTTTAGTGTGTTTTTATTATCCCCATGCTAGATCGCATAAGAAAGAAAGAAAAAAGAGAAAAGAAAACAAAAGAGAAACAGAGAAAGAAAGAGAAACTAACCCGGTGGATCCTCTGTGGAAAAGCAAGCTTCCAAAAACCCTCAGTGATTCAATCGGCTGACTCTCCCCTTTTGATCACTCTGATCTCAGACCAAACGCTGCCACTTTCTTAACCGTTATGTGCTTTTACAGCTCAGTCTGTTCCTGGAAGATGACACAGAAGCAAGGGCCAAACCCATAAATCCCAGATTCAAGGTACACAGGACCAGCACCACCTCCATATTCTCTGAACTTGTATTAAGACTGTTGCTTTCTTGTCTCAAGGGACATCTTGCAGTTATTTTAGCCCATACCTGTCCGGTCTTTATCTGAATTTTTTGTTCATATTAATGGTGTCTGGATATATTGGGGGGGATGTGGATGTAGTTTCAGGAATAGGGGTTGAAAGTATTGAGTATAAACAAAACCTGGAGCTGAGAGTGGGTCTAGGTCGTGTTCTTGATCTGGGATGATGAATTTTTTGATTGCTGGCTCATTTGGATGATACATATGAAACAGAAACTCCAGTAATTTTGTGTCCATTGACTGGCCTTTTAGAAAAGAAAAAAAATGGTTAAACCATGCTGGAAGCCTCACGATGATGGTGATTCAAACGGACGAGTTGACGGGCTGTTGTGGTCTAAGGATCTGGGGCACCATGTTTATGGCCAATTCTCCATGGCAGTAATCCAAGCTAATAATGTGGTGGAAGATCAAAGCCAGCTTGAATCTGGGGCTTTGAGTATGACCAACCCAGGTACGCAGGGGACCTTTGTCGGAGTTTATGACGGCCATGGCGGAACCGAAGCTTCACGGTTTGTCAACGACAATCTCTTCAGCAATCTCAAAAGTTGGTTTTCATCTACGTTGCAAACATTGTACAGTCTGATTTTTTTTTTTTTTTTTTTTCTGGGTCTCAAAATTTGCAGGAATATTAAGTCCCCACGAGCTGCTTTTGATGTTTCTTTGTGGTTTTTCAAAGCGCAGGATATGTATCTTTGCACCAAAACATATCTGAAAACGTTATCAGGAAGACATTTGCAGCAACAGAAGAGGAGTTTCTCTCTCTTGTCCAGAAACAGTGGCTTAATGAACCCAAGATTGCATCTGCTGGATCATGTTGTTTGGTAGGGATCATATGCAATGGACAGCTTTATATTGCCAACGCAGGCGATTCTCGAGCAGTGCTTGGGAGAACCGAGAGAGCCACTAGAGAAGTCATTGCCATTCAATTGTCCACAGAACACAATGCAAGCATAGAATCAGTGAGAGATGAACTACGGATGGTTCATCCAGAAGATCCTCAGATTGTGATCCTAAAGCACAATGTGTGGCGTGTTAAAGGTATCATACAGGTAATTTTCCTGGAAATTCTCTTGAAGTTTGAGAGGGTAGCTGTTGATTGTTAAGTGAAGCAATCTAGGAATCCTCTACAGTTCTGAACCTTCAAAAACTTTCCCCCTGCAGATTTCAAGATCCATAGGTGATGCATATTTAAAAAAGGCAAAGTTCAACAGACCTCCTCTGCCACCAAAATTTCAACTGCCTGAGCCATTTTACAAACCAATCCTCAGTGCAGAACCGTCAATACTGGTACACAAACTCCGCCCAGATGATCAATATCTCATATTTGCTTCTGATGGTCTGTGGGAGCACCTTAGCAACCAGAAGGCTGTTGACATCGTCAACAGCTATCCTCGAAATGTAAGAATATTTCTTCTCATAATCCACCATCTTGTTGATCCATGACATTGATTTGATGACCATCACTTTCATATTCCTTATCAAAATTTTCTAAAATTTATGGTTCCACTTGGTGAAAAACTGCAGGGAATAGCAAGGAGACTTATCAAGGCTGCACTTCGAGAAGCAGCTAAAAAAAGAGAAATGAGATATTCCGACCTGAAAAAGATAGATAGAGGTGTGCGAAGGCATTTCCACGATGACATTTCTGTTGTAGTTGTGTTCTTAGATCCTCAGTTGATCAATGGCAGGCCCTCCCCTTGTTCCTTGTCAATCAGAGGAGGAGAAGGTCTCCCTACGTCAGCAAACTCCTAGCTGGTAAACTTTGTTAATGTCTTTATACCCTTTTCAATTTCTTGACAAACAAAACTAGAAAATTCAGGCTTCTTAGAAAGATCTATCAATTTGTAAGATCTTCTATTAGCAAGTAAAATAGAAGATGACAGGATGCAAATGTACAAAGTTCGTAAATCGGTTTCTTGATGTAACAAAATGAAACAACGTCCTTCATCTTTGTAAATCTTGTTTTTCCATCAGAAATATCAACATTGTCCCGTTCTTTACCATCAACACATTATATTCTTCTTTTGAGAGTTGGTATATAGATTAGCAGGCATAAAAAATGGCTGATAGCACAATAGGATAAAAAAATGATTTTTTTTTTTTTGGGGGGGGGGGGTATGAACCTGACCAATAATATCATACACTCCACCAATAAGCATAACTTCATTTCGGTCCCTCAAGAAGAGCAAGCCTGAAACACATAGTGAAAGTCAAACCTTTACATGAAAGGTGAGCAAGCCATTTGTTACACTATCTGATTGGCTATTGAAGATTTTTCTAGATCCCTTATAAGTGAGATAATTGAGATAAATATGGGTAAATCAAACAGAGTAAAAGCAGTCACAAGGTTCTTGAAGCAAATCCAAAACCCCTTCAGAGCTTCATCTGTTATTCTCAATTATAGTTAAAGACCAAATACTCCTGCCATTTGAAAATTTTTGAAATATAACTATCAGACAAGAAAAATTGACGAGGGCTGTTGCTAAGGTGATAGTGGAAGAAACAAAAGGGATATAAATGCATCATCAGAATTAAGGATGACTCTGAATTCAATCCATCGCCTGTGTAAATCAACAATTTTTTTAGTTTTTTCCTCTAACAGATCCTCAATACAAACAAAAGAAGAAAACACTTGGTGCTAGAAAATAATGGCTAAGAGCCGCCTTATGCCGTCACATCTTATCAAACAACTCAAGAAAAAGCACCTGGGTGACAGATATACTGCTATGAAACGGGATTTCAGTGTGCAAAATGTGGAGAAAGCAAATCAAGAACACCCATGAAAATTACATTGAACCTGCAAAGACGAACGAATCAATTAGATAACTTCTCCCATGTTAATTAAGTTGAATAAGGTCTATAAGATAAAAATTAGAAGTATGTGACCACCAACGCAGATGGAAAAACTTCTTTTAGACCATTGTTCTGCCTTCCATAAAATCGTGACACTTCCAGAAAACAGTTGCTTAGCCTACTAAAAAGGAACCAACAGGTACATCCCCCTTGCCATTTACTTGGATCGAACTCAAAGGGCTTGCCTGAGCACTGGAAGGACGATGATAATAGTAGTGTAGATAATTTTTTTTAAAATGGGCATGTAGAAAACTGGATGGAAGTATACCCTCCAATTTGATGAAGAGGGTGCAGTTCTAGAAATTTAAAACACCTACTATCTAATGGAGTTCAATGTTATACATTTCATACAAAATAATGGCCGCATCCTTAAATTGAAAGGGTTCAGGATACGATGAACTAAATGGTTAATAGCTCGGCTTGTCCAATTGGTTAAATGAGCTTGGCTGTGCATAAGACTTGTTGATATAGCTTTCTTGTTCAACCAAAAGGGAACTCTATAAAAATGGGGAAAATCTGACAAGCCGAGCTTTCTTCTTTGCCTCCTCGTCAGTAGCCATTGACAAAGTTAAGAGCTCAAATCTGAAAAACATAAAAGATAGTCGGACTGAGGAAAGATGAATTATAGAAACTTCTCTAACACGATACTAATAAGCAGAGAGAAAAACCTCTCCGCTCTGGCCTTTCTCTTCAGCTCTTCTGCTTTGAACATTTCATCCGGCCCACATACTGAATCAATGCCGAACCTGCGAAGTTTCCAGTACTCAAACGAAATGGCAGCTTTAAAATTGCGGAACGACACAAGAAAGAAAAATAAAGAAAAAAGGATGAATAAGAAGAAGTTCAGAACTATCTTCTGCATCCAATTCGAAAAATGAGAATACAGAATATCTTGTTCTTGAATAAATGCATTAATCAGTTGAAGAATTTACTATCTATCCAGGAAACGGCATCAAATTCAAAGACACAATTCTAAGCTCTTCACATTCCTCGGAACATAGACATACGAACACGCAACAAATCCGTACGAAAAAATAAACAATGCTACTAAACCGCAAAATCACCTCTCAGCTCGAGAGAATCGCTTTTCTGCCTCCGACAAACGTACAGGAATCCCAAACCGCTCCGCACGACGGATCTTCTTGAAGATATCAAAAACAGAAGCATGATGCTCCGATGTTCTCCCCAAAGTGGCACGTCGAGATTCAGTGCCTTCCTTTGTAGCGGTGGGAGTCACGGAATGGGAAGGCCCGACAGCAAATGCACGGCGATTTTGGTGTTGATCTACTTGGCCATTACCAGCGGCTGCAGATCCTAAATTCAACGGCAAGGCCGACTTCGGTCCTGGAAGATTGTTTTCGCTCAGTTCTTCTGTGAAATCAGTCGCCATTGAAGAAGGAAGATCGGGAGCTGCGCGAAATTTAGAATCATTAATATAAAGAGGGTGAGCTTTTCGATGCGCGGTTTTATTTTTCTTTTGGGTTATCCCTGTATTTTTCAACGCCTGACCGGTTTGGCGGTTTGGGATCCATCTTGGCGGTTCGTTTCTTTTCTCTTTGGCGGTTTGTATTTTGTGGCAGAGAAATAACGGTATTTTTCATTTTCGATTGCTCACGTCTATAGTTGATAAATATAAAATTGATATGTTTAGTGACCTGAAAATATATGCTTCAAATATTCAAATATTTGTTTGTCATGACCATCCTAATTATAAAATATAAACGGGCAAGTTTCATAAAAAAATAGGTTCATACATCTATTAGATTCATGAATAATTGTAGTACATTCCCCTCTCCCAGGCATGTATTAGAATTTATTTGGTTCATCACTCTTTTTTAATATATGAATCATTTTTATTCATCTATGACATTAATGATTCTATATCTATATAAAGTGTCGGTTATAATGGTTGAGAGATATTTGAGTTTGAGTGTAATTTTGTATTTGTTTCCATAGTAATTTTGTTGAGAGAAATTTTAAGATAGTTCTTGCCCACATTCTCTCGTAACCATATAAATATTTATGCATTTTTGTTTAATTTCTATTTTTAGGTATGCGAGTGATCTAATGCTTTTGTTACAACATAAACATAAACCTGTAAAAAAAACTCTGGAATTAAAGTGGAAAATGGGTTTAAAAAAAGGCAAAATATCCACGTCCACTTAGAAAAATGCGGTTCATTTTTCAACTATAACCAACTAAAATCAAAGGGTAAAATACATATATATGACCAATCACCTTAACTTGCACATTTTTCTTACAAAAACCATATATACTCTCTATCTATATTCTATAAACAAACGCAAAATGGAGCATAGAAATGCGCATGACTTGATGATTTTTGTCGATCAGGCACCTTCAAGTGCATTCAATCAAGCTTTTGAACGACCGCCTTTCGTACTCGTAGTATATATCCAACAGTATGGCTGACAAACGTTAGGGAGCGAAGATGAGCCTCATTATAGTCGTCTAGTAGGATTCCTGTCGTATCTTCTACCGCCATTAAGCTTCCTATCAGAATCTCTGTTGGTTCTTGGAGGAGTACTGGCAGATCCAGGAGAGCTGTGGGGTATGTTCGAACCCGGGTCGTATCTTTGGGAAGCTAGATAAGATAAAGCTGTGACAACATCGGCGATCACAGGTCGCATATTTGGCTGCTCTTGAACACACATTGCTGCAACTGCAAGAGCCTGATACAAACCCCTTGAAGGGTATTGGCCTCTAAGCATTGGATCTGCCATTTGCGCAAATCTCATACGGTCTTTAAATAACGGTCTTGCCTGCAATAAAAGGTTTTGTATAATAAATCAGAAATATCTTTCCAGTCTTGAGGTTTCCTGTACCAATCTATTAGAAGATAAGCTTCGAGAGAGAGGAAAAAGAAATCACATACTGAACAACATTTGATTGGTATAATGTTAAATAAAAAAAATATATATAGATATAGTTTCTAAGGTGAGATCCTACATCGGTTGGGGAAACATTTTTTATAAGGGTGTGGAAACCTTTTCCTAGCATACGCGTTTTAAAAACTTTGAGGGGAAGACCGAAAGGGAATGTGTGGAAACCTCTTCCTAGCATACACGTTTTAAAAACCTTGAGGGGAAAACCGAAAGGGAAGGTGTGGAAACATCTCCCTAGCAAACGCGTTTTAAAAACGTCGAAAGGAAGCCCAAAAGGAAAGATGTGGAAACTTCTCCTTGGCAAACGCGTTTTAAAAACTTTGAGGGGAAGCCCAAATAGAACAATATCTGTTAGCGGTAGGTTTTGGCCGTAACACCTAATGATATAGTCTATATAAGATAAATGTCCTAATTTAAAAGACTGATGTGATGTACCATAGTAGCTAACATGGCATTAGTTCAATTTAGGCAATATACAGGCAAATATCATATTAATTTTCTTGTGTTGTCATGTCAACTTTCTCTTTATTATTTATCTGGATAATTAGTATAGACGATTATATTGCTATATTCATAGAAGCATGTGAATTGAACAAAACAGAAAGAAGGGACTAAAATGATAAAAGTTGTAACCTATAGAGACAATCAAACACCCAACCTATTTGTACCTTTCACCTCCTAGGACAACTTTTACCAGACATGAAAGATGATAAATTCTTTTTATTAGTGTTACCGCTGAAGTTGCATAAAAACGAGGAACATTTAAGTCCTAGAATTATCAGACCATTTAAGCCAAAAAGTGATGTACATATGGGAAAATGTTAGATCTCTTACCCATGAAACCAGATTTTGCTCCCCTGCTGCTCTTGAATCATCAATTGCTTTCCTGCCTGTTATGATTTCTAGAAGGACAACACCAAAGCTATAAACATCTGACTTGAGAGTTAACTGACCAGTCATTGCATATTCAGGAGCACAATATCCGTAAGTGCCCATAACTCTGGTAGATACATGTGTATTATCCCCAACAGGCCCAAGTTTGGCCAATCCAAAATCAGACAGCTTGGGATGATAACCTTTATCAAGCAGAATGTTGGAACTTTTTAAATCTCGATAAATAACTGGCGGGCTCGCTTTGTCGTGCAAATATTCCAATCCTCGTGCTGCCCCAGTTGCTATTTTCATTCTTGTATTCCAATCTAGTACTTTTGTACCAGGTGAAATGTCTGCACAAAAAGATAACTAAGAGTAAGCAGGGAATTTTCTATGCAGTAAAAGTATACAGAGCATGTAGAAATTTCTATACCATGTAAATGATCATCTAAAGCTCCTAGACGCATATATTCATATATAAGAAGCCTTTGATCTCCATCAGCACAATAACCAATCAGATTAACTAGATTTGGGTGATGAAGTAGGCTTAACATCAACACTTCAACGAGAAATTCTCTGTTCCCTTGCAACCCATTGCGGTCAAGTTGTTTGATTGCCACAACCTACAATGAATGAAAAGAGTGATTTCAAGTCCTGCGTCCAACTTCCTTTCGAAGTATGACAAACTAAAGGGGAATAATATTTGAGCAGCCTTTGAACTGTGAAATAATAAGCTGAAAAAGCTAAACTAAATCAAAATTCACAAGAAGAAAGGGATCAGACATACATATATGATAATTATACAACCAAATAAACCATCGTGGTATAAGAAATATGACCGACCTGATTGATGCTTTCCAAATTTCCTTTGTAAACTCGACCAAAACCTCCCTCGCCCAAAAGACAGTCTGCCCTAAAATTCCTGGTAGCAGCTGCCAACTCCCGGAATGAAAATATCTGTGCCTTGATAGGATCAGATCCTCCACCATTCGAGGCTTCACTGAAGGAGGAACTTGTCTTTAGTTTCCCTGCAAAATGAAAAACAGATCAGACAAAAAATTTCCGAAAAATTTATAGTAGTCACTGGACTTGATTCATATGATAGCAGTAGCGCAAAAGTCTCCTGTAAAAACTTCTCTACAGACTGAACAAAAAGAAATTCAGTATCAGTTGATAGCGAATAACAGAAATCAAGGAAACTCGTGGACATGATATACTCCAAATTAACAATCAGTAAATATGTCAGGATGCGATTGTGTATTCTGGATCAATGCGCAGTAGTATTTTGCTATATGTAAACTGGAGTCTTGAAATCGTCATTATATTGAAGAAGTTAGCATACAGCTTCGATGAGAGCAAAATTCAAACTAGATTTAGAAAACCGGATGTCTGATTGAAATACCGTCAAGCTGGATCGTCGATACGATCGCCATAGAGACGTTTAGCAACCATAAATCTCTCAATGTAAATCAGACGTCCAACAATGTCTTCTAAACGTGAACCTGGTTTAATTTTATACTCTACAGAAACGCAGTTCGTTTGAAAATCAATGAGCTAATTAACTACATCGCTAATCAAGTTCTACAGAAACCAAAGTCAAAGAAAGAAATGAAAAAAATGAAAAAACTCGACCGAATCCATCCGAACGAAGTGGATTCCAAATACGACCACAGTACAGTTAAGCGAAGGAGTAACAGATTAAATAAAACAATAGAGCAAGACATAGACGTACCTGAAGCAGCTTTGATTGGATCAACTCGACTCTTCTGAGATTCCAACTTCTTTAATTTCTTGGACCTGACTTTCCTATTTGAATTTCCAGAACAAGGAATCCAAATCATGCTTAATTCAATCTCCTTGCGCACTCTTTGATGAACTTCCACAGCAGCATCCAACCAAGAAGAGGAAAACAGATGGCCTAAAAGTATCCAAAAGTTCTGCAAATCCAAAACCAATATAAAAGCCACCAGTTTAGAAAGCTCCGAAGAACATGAATCAGAAATGGCCTTCAGCTGTCTCCTTGAAATGTTTAGTTTGTCTTTTCCCGTTTACTTTCCCTCTCTCTCTCGCCAATATATTTTCTTCTTTTTTTTTCCTTTTTCTAAACCATTTCCTCTCGCAAGAAAATTAGTTATTGGCTGAAGTTCGGACGTTTAAAACGATGTCGTATTAATCTGATTCTCAAATTCTTTTCATTGGGCTATTGTAGTTTATTGGGCCCGCTTTTGACCTTGGTGGGTTAATCTACACCCACCGACGTGTCGTATGGGTCATTTCCATTCTGTCGGAGTAGTTGAGATCACGTTGAATTAAAATATTGTTTAGAACCTTCATTTGACAGCCAGCGTGGCATGTATTTCTTTATTTCTCTTTTTTCTTTTGCAACAAACGTGGCATGTATTTAGAAGAAGAAAAGACAAAAATATCATATTTGACCCTTTATTGTAATCAAATATATTATATGATTGAAAATATTTATTTAGTTCTTTATTACCGACAAATATCATGTATCCATTTAATATTGATCATAAATAGAGAATTTTAATTACGAATCATAAATAAATAGAGAATTTTAACCCCATATAAATGGGGTGATTTTAGTAAATATACTCGCGAAAGGATATGAATATATTCAAAGATTGGCCAATGATTTAGTTGACTTTTTTGGTTCAGAAAAGTAGTAGGATGAACTCCATGATTGAAAGGAGAGGAGGAAAAAACAAAGCTATCTTGTTGGTTTAATGACACAAAATGTAACAGACTCATTGGAAGTGCTTGAAAATTTGCTCAACTAAAAGCAGCACAATGAAGAGTAGGCACTACTCTTGCAACAAACCATACACGTCGAAACTATGGATGTTGAAGACGAAACGACGTACCGATATGGATGAGCAATAGACGACGATATCTTCAAAATGATTCGATGTTTCCTCTCCACATGCTGGCTGCCTTCACTCTGCTCCACAAGTGAATCAATCCATTTGTTTCTATTCTTTTGGGTTATTCCATTTGAGGAGCTACATGATTTGCATTTCCAAGTGAGATATCATGATTGTGTTTTCCTTCATAAGTAGTGATAAAGGAATCTGGAACCTCCGACGCTCGTTCGACGTACTTGCGCGCTTTGCATTTGAGACCGGTACATCTGTAGTAACTTCTGCAAGGCGAAAGATTACTTGAGATTGGCTCCGGACAGATATATAAGCAACCAAGAAAAATTTAATAGCAGAACTTGTTGGTGATATACAAGCCACTAGGTTGGTCATGCTCATGCAGTCTGTAACGCGTCTTCCGCACCTTTCTAAGAAATATTTTGTTCTCCTCTCCAACTAATGTGGGATCTCAAAATCCACTCACTTAGGGGCCTAGCGTCCTTGCTACACACCGCCCGGTATCTAGCTTTGATACCATTTGTAACAGTTCAAGCCTGTCGCTAGCAGATATTGTTCTATTTGGAGTTTTCATTCATAGTTTTAGAACGTATCTACTAGGGAGAGATTTCAACACCCTTATAAGGAATGTTTCGTTCTCCTCTCCAACCGATGTGGGATCTCACAATCCACCTCCTTGGAGGCTAGCGTCCTCGCTAGCACACCGCTCGGTGCCTGACTCTGATATTATTTATAACAGTTTAAGCTCACTACTAGCAAATATTGTCCTATTTGGATTTTCTCTTATAGACTTCCCCTCAAGGTTTTAAAATGTGTCTGCTAAGAAGAAATTTTTTACACCCTTTTAAGAATGTTTCGTTCTTTTCTCCTACCAACGTGGGATTGCTACACATTTTGGCTGAAAAATTTGGTAGGGAAGTTCTTAAAAACTAGAATTTGTAGAAACAAGAAGCTCAGAAGAATCTCCATAGCAACTAGCATTAGAGGATAAAAACAGTAACTTCAGGCGGTAAGGATGGAAACAAATAAACTGAAATAAGGAACATGGTAATAACCAAAATGAAACTGAGTTAACGCAGATCTTCAAGTCCTTACCGAGGGTATAGATTTCCCTTTACAACTTTCTGCCCATATTTTCTCCAGCGAATGCCTTTGCCAGAAATCTCAATATCAGCGGAGCATCGAGCCATAGCATGGTGCTCATAAACACCTTCAATTGATATATCAGCTTCATTTGTTGGATTTTTGCCACCCCTGAATTGCAAGATGAACATATAACTCATAAGAACATGACTATAGGAGCAAAAAGAAATTATAAGACAGACAAGCAAGCAGACTCAGATGCCAAGTTCTTTCTACAACTATAGGAGCAAAAAGACAGCTTTGTATAATGTGACCATAGTTTAAGTAGCTTTCTCTTACCTTCTTTTACTTCGCAATTTATCACCTGTGGATTCAAGTCCCTTGCTTCCTTCTTCACATTCTACACTTAGACCGCATGAATTATCAGAGATTCTACATCCAGTATGGACTTCTCTAACTACAACTGGATCAAAGGGTAATGTAACTGTGCCTTGACAAGTTTTTTCGATGTGATTCTCGAGCTGACTTTCACTACCTTCTATTTGTCCGTTGAGGTAATAAAGCCATAGCTTCGGATTAGTATCTCGTACCGTTCCATCTGATATCGAACCTTCCCCTGGTGTCCCTGATGAGTTGAGCTTTAGAGGCTGAGGCTTTGGGTGGTCGTGCTCACCTTTGTAAACAATTTCAGCAATCTTCCCATCCAATGATCTCTCAACCTTTTTCTTGACAGGACAACTTGGATGTGTGCACTTGTAATAACTCCGCGGATACTTGCTTCCCTTAACTTTCTTTTGTCCATATTTCCTCCAATTATATCCGTCATAAGAAGGCTGAGCACAACTTACTTGAGAATGAAGCAATGTTGGATCCTCTTTGCTATAATTCAATGTCACTCTTGAGCTTTCAATAGATTGGCTGTTTTCAACGGTGGATGTGATGTTCTGGGGAAGATTTGAGGTCAGTGCAGATTGGACATTGTCTTTACCTTGATTTGGACATTGAATACTGTCCTTATCAGGTGGATGTGGTAAACAGTTTTGCAAATTGGTGTTCCCCTGGTAAAAGAGAAGCCAGCAGCAAAGTTATGCAGATTCTCAAGTGCTCAAATCTTCTCTTTAAAGAGCATCAAACAGATAAACTGAACCATACTCAACCAACAAAGAAATACAAGTGATTATGAAGCTACTTACAATGTGTGACAGCTGAGAGACGGTCTGTTTCGATACATGCTTCGCCAAAGGTTTGAATAAAACAGTGGTTTTGCTGTCTGATATGGCAAGATTATCAGATGAACTACAAGAGATCGTTCGAGGGGCGGTTTCCGAAATTTTGGCCTGAAAATGTTGAATGTCACATAAGGAGATGCAATATTATGAAAGAAAAAGTACTATAGAAGTAAAATATCAGAGGAACAAATCACCATGGGTGATGGAGCAGGATTGTCCTTCAGCTTAAACCTCACTGTCTTTGGTCTTATGGCAGCAACCTTGGTTGTTTCTGATGACATATTAGGTGGAGAAGTATTGAAGGCACACGCAAGGATATCAGAGAATGACTTAAAACTGGAACATGTCGGCCTCGACGCAACCGGTCTGGCAACAACAACTCTCTCCGCCGCTTTATTGTCCATGATGTACAAGAAGTCACGTTTTTCTCAGAAAAGACACGCCTATGAACATTCAAGAAAACGTTGATAACCAAATAATTGCTTCCCAGAATGCGGTATCCAATAGCTTTGAAAGGACCCAACAAAGAATCAAGCTGAAGGCTTAAGCAATGGTTGGTCTACATTGTTTGTGGTCAAACGAGACTCCATACCTATAATTCATGGAGAAATGTAGTTATATCGAAAGCCGGTCGGCGCTATTTATGAAGTTCATCAAGTATTATAGAACATCACAGCAGTTTGGATCATTCAGAGCATAACAAGAAAGCTTTCTAGTCTGCAAGAACAGTTCGAAACTCCCAGCAAAGGATATCTCAACATTTGAGACAAGTTTGTCAAATGTTTCAATATGATGAAGCTATAATGAATACATTAACTGAAACACACAATCAATAAGCATTATAACAATGGGAAAATCCAGACACCAGAACATAACCCTCTTGTTGTTTGCTTCAATCTAGAATCGTACTAAAAGAAATATACCAAACCCCATATTTAAAATGACTTCATCAAGATCTAAAACTCCAATTCCAACGAATTTACGAATCCTTGAGGAAGGGGGAACTAAGGAACAATCGATCAAAAGTACTCAAACGTCAAACAGAAGAAAACCAGGGCAAAGACAAACCAATTGCTTCAAGCCCATCCACGGAATCTCGAACCACTGGTTCTCCAAGACGATCTTCACTTCAAATGGGATTATTTGAAAGTGGGTTTCCTTAGCAGATGATTTCAAAATGGAAGACGAGAAGAAACCCCATTTGCAGAAACAATCTGAAGAAGACGAAGAACAGAGAGCGGAGGTGAGTGAAGGAGAAACTGGTGGTCGCCGCTTTCATCGTGGAGGAACAGATTAAAGGGGTGGGGGGCGATAAGCAAGGGGGTTTTGGAGATTGTGGGTGTGGGGGGTTTTAGTTAGTTGGGGGTGGGGGCGAAGAGGAAGAGCAGGGAGTGGCCAATCCCGCCAACTGAAATTCTACTGAGAAGAATGGTAGTTGAATTGGGCGATGCACGTGCTGCTGCTGCGAAGGGAAGAGCCTGAAGAAGCAATGATGATAATTTGGTTAAATGAGCTTCCATGTTTACACACGGACTGCCTGGCCATGGAGTGAGGTTTTGGAATACCCCACCACCCAAATTATTACACCCAACACTCTCCACATCTTCAGATTATTTTTTTTAATTGTTTAAATCTCGTTTTGAGAATTTTCAACTATGACCAAATATTACATTATTCAAATACATTTTTGAACATAGTATCATAGTCATGCCCTAAACTCAAAGTGAAGCGTTGGATGAGTCATAGCGTACCGAAAATTGAAAAAAAAAAAAAACTTAATTCTAGCATTTCTCTTTCATCTATAATATATATATTCATTTAAAGAGTTTAATACAGGTGTAAATTTAAAAAAATGAACTTCATGTGTAAAAGTTATACATTATTCATTTTAATAGAGAATCTAAATTGGTCCAGTTTTTACCCCCCAACTGAAGAACATTTCTAAAAAGTTATACTATTTTTACCAATCTATCTATATCTATACTATAGAGAAAGCATGCAAAACAAAGAAGAACACAGATTCCATTGAATTTCCATACAAATTTACAGACCTTCTTCAACTGAATCTCCCTGTCTACAATCAAGAACATCATAAGATGAAGAAGAAGAAGAAGCAAGGTAGGAGCTAAGCAAAAATCACTTATTAATTGGTGCAAGAATGGTATAGACCAACAGGAATGTGACAATTACAATTGCACCTGCTAGAGTAAACCTTGGACTAGTCCACAGCATCAGGTTTGATCTCTCTGTTCTTTTGATGGGATCTACTTCTTCGGACAATGGATATTCCGATCTTCGCGGATTCCAGCTTACATATTTGTTTGGAGAGAAATCCGAGAAGATCGTCTTTTTCCCTCGCTTTCTGAACTTCGACCAAGCCTTGTCCCAATCTGTTGAGGGCTTATCACCTGATTCACATATGCAAAGAGTAATTAGATACTTGATATGATTCAGAAAATTGTTATTCAACTTTGTGCCTGCAAATATCCTTATCATCACCCTAATACTGAGGACAGTCCAATGTAAAGTAACATGGGAAACATTTACTTTATAGGCTATTTTCAAACAATAACTGTTTAACCTCAATGTTAAGCATCAACTTGATCTGCATTTGATATTGCAAAATTCAAATAGTTAGCTTACAAACTAGAAGAACTCAAGTTACTCAAAATGGTGTCCTCGTGTAAGGGCTCGGGATGTTCAAACATACCTTTCAAGTATTGAATTCAATTCTCTAAATTGAAAACTTAAAAATAATTCAAAACGCTTGTTTTCTCATGAAAATAAAGGACAAAGCCTCAAAGATTTCTTGTTTTTATTTTTTAAAAAGAAAAAGATTCAAATTTACAAGTTATGTATGAACCAACTTTCCACTCGGGACAATGGAACCTCTACATATATTAAAGTAATATGATATTACCCACTTTCGTTACAAGCCCTCATGATTTTGCTTCTAATTTTGCCCAAAAGGCCTCATACTAATTGAGATGATTGTCCTCACTTCAATTCATAGATTTTTTTTTCCTTTTCTAGATAATGTGGGACTTTGTTTGTACTCCTAACACTTGGTAATTGAAATCTCGACTTCTTTTGAGAGCCTAGAGCTTGAAAAGTGAGCTGATGATACTCAATATAACTAGAACCAATCAATCTCGCATAAGATGGTAGGACATATAACTCTTGATCATTGAGTAGATGGCACTCGTTCAGAATCAAGGAGACAAGAGAAATGTTGTTGTGCAACAAGTTACTACATATTAAGGAGAATTAGTAGCTTCATAATTGGAAGTTACATGCCTTTATCTGGGCGATCAAGAGCAAGCTAAAGCATATTAACCCTTTGAAAAGCAAATTGATCAAGAGATTAAGAAGGAAATTGCTCGTAATTTTTGTATACTCCAAGTGAGTTTTTCCTGTAATTTGGAAGCATTCTTGCTTTTATCGACAAGAGAATTAGTCAAAAACCTTCATCAGCGAGTGACTAATACTTAAAAACAGATGAATCAAATCCTAAACCTAATTTTAGACGAAACGGAAATCTAGATCTCAACACCAACATGTAACTGCTACTCCATTCGAAGTACCTCCGATCATCATACTCAAAATGGCGGGAAAATACGAAAAGCATTTCTCAACACTAAATTACTTTTATCCTTTAAGACATTTCGATTACTTCCTTAAACCAGAGTGTCCAATGGATTCTTGCCTCTCTCCCTCACAGCTCAAACTAAAATCCAAAGTAGCTAGAGAGGTCAACAACGAAGCAAAACTCATAGTCAAACTAAAAATCAGTGAAAATAGAGAAAAGACTACCGATGCCATACGTTTCTGATCATCATTATCGTCATCTTTTCGTGGATCTCTAGGCCTTCTCCCTGAGCACAGAGGAACCACCGGCGAAGAAGAAAACGGTGAGGACGCAGATGATTTTTGTTTGTTTCTCGAGAAAAAGTAACGAGGTGCGATTACGGTTCCGATTAGCATCTCGGCAAAGATTCCTATTCCAGATTGAAACCAAGAATTCGTTCCTTGGTCTGCATCCACCGATTCACTTCACTGGCCCCCCTCAGTTCGTTCCTTCTGATATCCGTATTCGGTGAACTTGCAGGCCTCAGAATCTGCCACGTCATCCGAATCATCGTCTTTGTGGGCCCGTAAGATCCCACGTCAACTAATTTGGGCTTTTTTTTAGAGTATGAATTGGGCCGATCGTCCAGCTTCTCTCACGTCTGGCCCAACTAGTTATAAATAGATTAAATTCAATAAATAATTTTAAATGACGATTCCAAATATCGAAAATGGTTTTAAATTCTTTATCTGAATTTTTTTAATTAATTATTTTTTTTTAAATAGTACGATAATAGTATTAATAAATTATTATATCGTAAATTTAACTATCCGATTAAATTTCAATTCATTTTCAAAATTTTACGTTAAAAATGTTTGTAAAATTATATTTAAATTGTAACCTTGTATTAAAAAAGATTAAATTTGTATAGATTTATTTAATGAATACGAAATTATATTGAACAAGTTCGAGTATTATTTTTTTCCTTCTTTTTGTGATTGACAAAAAATTCACTTTCTTTAAGGAGGGGTTTAACATTTATATTAGAACATTTACTTATTTCAAAGATTAAAAAAAAATAATAATATAAAAATTCAATAATGAAATACTACTCACTCTCTACTATAATTTTCGAAAGATGTTCAAAGACATATATGTGTCCAATAATTTCAATAAATATATTTATTTTGTTCGATTTCTGATAAAAAAAATTGTAAAAATTAAATGATATATCGAAAAAAAAATTACAAATTTAATATAATTTCACGAGTCAATTAATACACATTCTCTTTATAAAGTGTAATTTTTAAAATTACTAAATTTAGAATTTAACATAAATAAATAAAAACAATCATTAAAGAAAGAAGGGAACGCTTTAGTTAAAGAGGGAAAAAAGAAAAAAAGAAAGGAAAAGGAAAGAAGAGAAAAGAAAAAAGGTGATAAGACATTTATGACCCTACCATTGCCTTCTTTGGCAAAACACGAGCCACTCGTGTTTTACTCTCGCGCCTCCGTTCATTTGGAGTTTGCTCGTCCATGTATGTGCCGGTCACCGGTGGCGCGCCCCGTCCCTAAATTGTCGTTTCAGGAAAAAATATATTAAATATTAATCACATGTGAGAGATATTTCGCCACGTGTCGATCATTACAGGGGTGTGGAAAAAAAGTTGAGCGAGGCTGTTGGGCCCACCCACTCCCAAATCCAATGTGCACCACGGAAAAACAAGTTGGTTAGTAGATAAATCTCAGCCGTCGGATCCCGTGGTCACGGTAATGTCCAGCGTGCAAATCCAACCTTTTGTATTGGTTTTAATTTCATCCGTACTTAAAATATATATATATATATTTCTTTTTTCTTCTAATTTAATTTCAAAATTTCATCAATATTGAAATTAGTATCCTAACTATTCTAAATTAATTAATCTCGAAAATAAAAAATGAACAATAGTGAAACTCCTATGAAAAAATGTAACTGCAAACTATATATATATATATTGATCTTTTAAGTTAATATAATAAATTATTATGTTTTAGTTCTACTTAAGCTTTTTTTTTTTATTCTGGGCCATCGGCATATAATTTTTTTCCGCAGAAATTTAATTAATTTTAGAAATTTTCGTTAAGTGAGACATAAAATTTTAATTTTAATTTGAAATTTGATTTAATTTAAAATAATGTTATAATTTTTTTCTTATCCCATAACGACAGAAGTACGAGAACGAGCGAGCGGGACAGGGACGAGGAGGTGGAATCATCGGGCAACTCGTGGTCGAGAATGACTCGCCCGTAGCTTTTCCAAATCTGCGTGGGTCCCACTTTGTGCCCGATTCCCGATTTATTAGGCCACCTAAACGTTGAACATCGCCAAAACATCGGCATCGCTGTCCCCTTCCTCGTGTAGCATCGTTTGAATTTTCAACGGAGATTGAAAATAAATTTGTTTTTTTTCCCTACATTTATTAAACTAAGAAATAAAACAAAAAAACCATTTATTCGACTTTGAAAGCCAACATATAATTTATATTTTGTCTATTTTGAATTTTATGTTAAATTAAAAGTCTAGCATCCAATTTATATTATATTTTTAAATAGATTTGTTGAAGTGTATACTCGAAAATTTTATTTCTAATATTTTTATTTTAAAAAAAAGACCATCTTTCTCCCTCTCAAATAATTAAATCTTAATTATATATAATTCAAATTAAATAAGTAGTAAATATGTCATTTCATACTTTAAAAAATTAATTTAATCTAATTTAAATTAAACAAATTCATAAACTAATCAACATTATTGAGATTTAAAAAATATTTCATTTATCAAATATGCTATTATAGCCTTTTGAAATATATGAAATATAATTTTATTTTTTTATTGAATCATTTTAAAATTGTAGTTTTTGAATCCCTTAACAAATACAAAAATACAAAACGTAATCTATAAATTTTAATGATTATATCTAAATAAAATTAAATATAAATGTCTATTAGATTTGTAGGCTCGTTTATTTATTTTATATTTAATAAGTGTATTAAAAAAATAATTAGTTATTAAATGAAACTTTAATTACCTATAATTCAATCGAGCGTAAGGTCAATTACTTATTGGTCATCTTTTTCAAGGTACGAAGTTCGAATTGTCAGCATAATTTATCGTAACTGATATATACTATATTATTTGAGGTTGAAAATAAAAAATGATACATAGACAGAAGAAGATTATTTAATACAAAAATTAGATTTAACTTTAAATATAAATTTTTTTATTTAATTAATTTTAGATATGTATTCCGTCGTTGTTTTTATTGGTTTAATCGTGAAAAATTACTATAAATACATTTCATTTTTTTTTTTTATAGATGAAACAAATTTAATAATTCATTATTATGAAAAAGACAGAATAATGAAATTTATTGGGGATTAAATCTATAAAGTTAGAGACCAATAAATCTGTTTTAAAAATAAAAAATAATTTAACTAATATGATATTAGATCAAAATATAAATCCATAATTTTGGGACGACATGACTTTTATTTAAACAAATAAGTAAATAAATACACATTTAAAACGGATATTCCCCGGTAGGCGGCGATTAAATCGTTTCAATCGATCGCTCCCTGGTGGCCAACAAAACGAAAGGCGTCAAATTTCGCTCCACAAGTTCTCATTTCACACCTTGCCCGCCATTGTTACCTTCCTCCGTCTCTGCTCCGATTCAGCCTTATCATGCTCTGATTAACCACATGAACTCCAACGCTTCGAATCCACATACTTCTATGGCGACTTCCTCTGCTGCAGATTCTTCTGGCAAGAAGGTTCGTAAGCCCTACACCATCACCAAGTCCAGAGAGAGTTGGACCGAAGAGGAGCACGATAAATTCCTCGAAGCTCTACAACTGTGAGTTTCTTTTGTCTGTTACTTGCAATTATCTATGATTTTTCGTCTACTGATGTTCGTGTCTAATTCTACCTTCCGAAAGCAACATCCATGTACGATTTGTGTTTTTCTCTGTACTGCTTTATAACTTCCAGACGGAGCTTCATCTTCCTTCTAGATTGTAGTTCTCTTGATTCTGCTTTGTTGTCGAGACTGTGGTTTGAGGATTTAACTTCGAGTTTTCTTAACTGTGATGGTTTTGATTTTTGTGTTCCCGCTCTTCGTCATACCACATCGCATATTTTTGTCTCATCTGATTTTTTTCGCATCAACATTATGGAGTTATGATTTTAGTGCTCTTTAATCGGAGTTCTACGTAGGTTAGTTATCAGTTGACGCGGAATCAGAGCGTTGAAAGCTCTGTAGTTGTGGTTTTTCCATCCTAGAATCGAATTTTTAGTGGCAATTTTACGAGCTTGAGATATTGAGATCCATTAATCCAGTAACTGAAGAAAATTGGATGAGAAAATTGAGATCCGAACATATGTCAAATTTTCAGGTTTGATCGTGACTGGAAGAAAATTGAAGATTTTGTAGGTTCAAAGACAGTTATTCAGGTGAAGAATGATCGATTTGGTTTGTTGGAGCTTTTTATCTTTGATTTCTTCCTACAACATGTTCTTTACCCTACAGTCGATGCTGCAGATTCGAAGTCACGCCCAAAAGTATTTTTTGAAAGTCCAAAAAAATGGAACAATAGCACATGTACCTCCACCTCGCCCAAAACGCAAGGCTTCACATCCTTATCCACAAAAGGCATCCAAAAATGGTACAACAATCTGATTCATGAGCAAAAAACATACTTCAAAGCTCCCAATTACTGACGTACTTAATTAACTGCTATTCAACAGTTTTGGTACCGATGCAAGCGTCAATGGCTTATCCTTCTTCAGTTAATACCCTAGCACTTGGATATTGTCCATGGGAGGATGCATCGATAATGATTAACCCTTCATCCTGCAAAGTCACGCATCCACAAGATGAATTTACAAATCTTCACAGATCTGAAAGTACGTATATTTATCTCCCACCCCTAAAATTTTCATTGAAGTAGACTGGCAAAAATTGGACTCTCAAGCCCTTACCTTATTACATGGCATTAAAATTCAGCTGAAAATGCGTCAGAAGGGACACCAATGATCAATAGCAATAGCCTCAATGTTATTGGAAGCCCTGATACGGGAAAGCAGGGAAAACAAGCTCCTATGCTTCATGGTAACATATTCCAGTTTGGTTATAATACAGTGTTATGTCAGTGAAAAACTAGGCCTTACAAGTAAAATGGCGATCTAACTTCTTATTTATTCGTTATCCTGCAGGCTTACCAGATTTTGCAGAAGTTTATGGCTTCATTGGGAGCGTTTTTGACCCAGAAAGTAAGGAGCATGTGAATAAACTCAAGGAGATGGATCCTATCAACTTTGAAACGGTGAGTTTGAGAATCTGGGATTGTTTCTTTGACTTGTACTTCCAAGTATAGTTAGTGTGAGATCCTACATCGGTTGGGGAAGAGAACGAAACACCCTTTATAAGAGTGTGGAAACCTCTCCCTAGCAAACATGTTTTAAAAATCTT